AGGGGCAGGGGCGGCAAGGTGGCCACGCGGGGCGGGGGCAATTTATCCGCGGATCGCCATAGGTGCCCGTCGCGCTCGGGCGCGGAACAGCGCGGGAAAAGGGGCGACGTGTGGGAGCGGCTGAGCAGCTCGCCCGGAGACTGCCGGAGCGACGCGGACAGGGCTGGCGAGGGGAAGGGGCTGCCGGGGACGCCGATGCGCGAGCGGGGCAGCACAGGCGACAGCGACGGGGGGGAGGCGGGCCTGCCGCGGTGGAGGTCCGCGAGGTCGGTGTCCGTGCCGGCGATCGCCGCCAAAAGCGGTATCCGGGGGACCGATCAAGCCTACGGCGGGCGGGCCAGGGGTGGGGGCAAGGGCAAAGGGCGCCGCAGGGACCCGGGACCCGTTCGTGCCAGATCGGCGGAGCCGTCGCTGGTGGCGATGGGCAAGCGTGGGAAGTTCGAGCTGCCTGGGACGGGTTCCGACAGGAGCAAGGGCAGGCAACGGAAGGTATCTTGCCGCTCTCTAAATTCTGGGAACGCCTCTGAGGGGCCTCTGCCACCGAGGCCCGCCTCGAGGCTGAAGAGTTCCACCGATGAGGATTGCTCTCCAAGCACTGGTGCCGACACTCCGAGTGGGACGGCTGCGCCTGACTGCAACGGGCCGGTGCGTGATCGGGACGCCGGCAAGGGGGAGGAAGGAAAAGAGAGCTGTCCCACAGTCGTGGCAGCTGGCCCGCCGCGCCCAGCTGTGCCTTTCTGCGAGGATGCAAGCAGCCAGTCCCCTGACTCCCCGTGCGCCCTTGATTCGCTGCCTTGCACTGAGATCAGCATTGGATCAACCACAGTCATACCCTCCGTTGCACCAAGTCCGGTGCCTGCCGCCTCTGACATCGGTAAGAGCGCCGAAGCTCGCCCTGCAGGTTTGTCCCCCTTGCCGAACTGTGTGCAGCTTGAGCCACCCCGGCCAAAAAGCAGGGCAGGGAGGCGAACACCAGATATAGCAAGCGCTTCGAAGGTGAAGAAGAAACCTGCCTGGAGTAGTCAGTGGCAAAATGAGCAAAGGCGGGAGGTAAAAGGTGGCTCAGGGACAGCCCCCAGAACGGAATTGAGCATCAAATGTAGTAATGTGACAAGAAGTGCGGGGCCGAAAATAGATGTCAGGGAGGAGATTGGTGACTCAGGGTCAATTCAAGGGAGAAAAGCAGTATCAAGAAAGCCTAGCAGGCGTGCCAGGCCCTATGGCCCTGGTTCAGTGGGCAATGAAGTGACAGGGGCTTCTAGAACGTCAGAGGAATTCTCTCAGGTGATGGAGAACGGGAAAGCACAAGTCACCATTGGTCGTGGGGAAACTGATAGTGCTCTGCAAGCTGCAGCCATGGAGGTGGGTGCTGATAGTGCCAACGAGGCGTGCTGTGCGGCAGCCCTGACAACACATGGAAGTTTTGCATCATCCACTGGAACAGGCCATGCAGCTGGCTCACAGGATATATTAAGAAGTAGCAGCGCCTCGCCTTGTGGCCTGGAGGGCAGGCAGAAACGGCTTGGCAACATTGAGGTTGTTATGTGTACTTCCGATGGCATGGCAGAGGGGCAGGTCTCGGTTGTTGTCCTGCCCGTGGATGTGCCCAGCTCCACGCCGGCGGTGCCATTAAAGTCAAGGGCACCATCGCCAGCTGTCGAGATGGAACAGGTACAGAGCCATACAGATGTTCCCGCAAGCGTGCCAAGCATGGAGACATTGCTGGATACTGAGCCGCCAAAGGGCCTGTCCAAGAAGTTCCGTGACCATTTTGCCCTGCGGGATGGCATAGCAGGGAGCGGTGTGGCTCTCCTGGAGGAGAAGGTTCTGGATGTGCTGGAGATGACTGGGGCTCTGCTGAAGCTCGCAAAAGACAATCCAGCGATGCAAGCACTGCAGAATGGCAAGTCGCCTGCTCCTGCACAGCTGAAACAACATGCCACAGAGATGGATGCCTGTATGGAAACTGGAATGCCTGTGGAACAAGGTGCAGCCAGAACACCAGATGCTCCACTCATTGGAGGCTCAAGCACGGATGATGGTGATGGTGTGCATGCCACGCCAAGTCTCCCTGCCGCGGCTGAAGGCACAGATCCTCCAATGGAAGAGCCCAGGGAGATGTCAGAATCTCGTCCTGGCAGAGATTCCTCGCAAGTGGGATGTGCTAGTGTTGAAGAGGCTGACGACAGGTCAGAGACTGAGACAACGTCTTCAGAGCCTGAGCTGCCTGTAGCTCCTCGTGGATACGCCCTGTGGTCACCTCCCGAAGCTGAAGGGCCACCTGATGAGGCGAACACCAGGGACGGGTACAATGCACCCTTGTCAACGGCGATGCTGACGAGCGATGCCGATGCTGTCCGGCCTTCGCTTCACGAGGACGGACTGCAGAGCTGGGCCATTCCCCAGTTTCAGGGCGACGACGTCCAGCTGTCAATCTTCAAGGCCCTTGTGGGTCCTGCGCTCAAGCAGGAGGGCACGATCCAGGCATCGACGGACAATCAGATGCCTATAGAAGAGCGGCCAACTCAAGGTGGAGAAACTGTTCAGCCGGGACTCCGTAACTTGGGGACACACAAACGTCGGGAGGTGCACAAAACTTCTCAAGGGACATCGCCGCATGCGGATTCGGAATACGCAGCACTCCTGGATGGGGAGGTCGCCGACTGTGCGGCTGGCGCACGACGAGTGGAGGGCGACGGCCATTCGGATGCTTCGAGGCCAGCGAGTTCCTTGCGGCCCGTCGACGCTGTCTGTGGCGACGGCGCAAGGCTGCCCCCTCGGGCCCAAGGCCCGGTGACGGAGGCGGTGGGGGACGTCTCCCAGGCGGAGTGGCCGCACGTGTACACCGTCCAGCTGCCGGGCCTGGACCGCAGCGACGGCAAGGCCATGTCGGCCACCCACGACGACTTCGAGTTCGACCCCCCCTCGCCCAGGCACTCCGACCTGCCCAAGCTCGTGGGCGGCTACGAGGTCTGGAGCTTCAACCCCATGTGGCAGGAGGACAGGCGCACGCCCACGCCAAGCTTCGGAGAGCCGTGCCTGTCGGAGCGCTCGATCCCGTCTCACAGGGACTGGAGCCCTTCTCCCGCGCCGTCCAGCTGCGGCCGGGCCACGCCCACTGGAGCCCGGCGGGCGGCCGACGGCGGCGAAGGATGCACGGAGGGCGGAGGGGCCGTGGAGGTTGTCGGCGCCGGCGGTGGACCGAACCCACGGGGCCACAGCAGCGCGATGTCCATCCACGGGGACGATCCCATCCCCGCGATTGTGCAGGTGCGGGGGCCTTTGTTCTGCAATGCGATGCGGGGGACCGTTCTTGGTGCAATTTCCTGCTCCTTCAGCGGCCCCGGGAATTGGGTAGAGCGCGTGCGCAGGGGGTTGGAGGGCACTGCCGTCTTGCAACGGAACTTTAAGCGCGTGGTTCCAATCGAGGAAGGCACGAGTGTTCGCATTTTTGGGTTGGTACTGTCCTCGTTGAATTATTGAACCAATTATCAATCAATATTTCGAGCAGTGTTAAAACTCCTCTTGTATCCTCCCGGCCTCACAGCGTCCAAGCTCCTCCAGTCGTTGCTGCACATGGTCTCGCTGATTGTCCACCAGCATGTCCCCCTGGCCCCGATTGTGGGTTACACCAATTGATACTCAAACCCACACAGACTCTGCTCTCACAGACTCTGCTTTGCTCAAGCAAAATGGGAAGCTGACGGCTACCTCATTGCCTTGTTATGTTGTTGCAGCTAGAACTGATCGAGTGTTTTAGGCCCTATGGCATGCTTTCAATACTTGCCAACTCTGCCATTATTGAGGACTATTAAAGTATAATTGCATGGAAAACGTCAGGACTCAGCAACACACTGGCATTCAATTCTTGATTGGTTAAGGGGCTAAATTGCGTGTTCAAACCTCACAGGAAGCGGCCGGAGAGAAGTTTGCTGTGTCATACGTGAATGGGAAGTCAAGCCGAGGAAATCTCGTGGAGCTTGTGGCTTCTGAAGCCAACGATGCAAGTGGTGTAGAAGCCCAGAATGGAGAAATTGTTTATGAAAAAGCAGCTGAGAGCAAGGATGAAGTTTTGTCATTGGGAGCGCATCCACATGTGGACCCGCCACCAGAGCAGGTGGTCGATGATTTGAAACAGGAAACAGTATGCCCCCAACCAATTGAGGCAAAGGAGGCAACAACACCTTGTGGTGGGAATGCTGCGAAGAATACTGCAGAAGTTGCACCAGCTATTGCTGAAGTCATCGAGGCAGATGGCAGCATGCTCCAAGGCAAGCAGGGCAAGGATTCAACTGCAGAAGCAGACGATCAAGCTGCCGCTGACTTGGGGACAATCTCCTCCCTCAGTTCTTTAGCCGGCAAGAAAGAGCAAGTGGATATGCACTCATTAATACAGACCACCAATAGCACCATTCCAAAGGTGCTGAAGCAGCAGCCAGCTGATGAGATATCACCTGAGGAGGAGAGCACAGGTGCACTGATGGAAGGGCTGAAAGGCATTCAATCGCAGGGACAGGATCCCCCTCCTTGTGGTGAGGAGGTGTCACCATCTGCCAAAGAAGCAGCTGTGTATGCTGTCTTGGAGCCTGCCAAGGCTTATGAAGATTCAGTCCTTTTGGATGGCAAGGAGAAAGGCATTGCCTCCAGTGAAAAGTCGCCTAGCTCAGAGGCGCTTACAGACAATGTTCCTTGTACTGAGTGGTTGACAGCTGTTGGAGAGGATGCGACCGACCGTCAGGAGGGAAAGGTGGAGCCCACACATTGTACATCTGAGGAGTGCACTCCTCATCAACCAGCAGCCATTTGTAGGACAACAGCTCCAGGAGGGGATGCTTGCCCAAGAAATTCATCACCCAAGATGTATACTGATGTGGAGACTTCAGTGTCTACATCTCCACTTTCATGTATCCCAAAACCAACTGTGGCTGGAGCAGCCACAGGAGCTGAGGTTGCCCACCTTGTAGCAGTGGATAGTGTGGATGAGGTTGTAGAGGCCATGGCAACTGCTGCTGGGGAAGGGTTGGTACCAGCAGCAGCAAAGCCAGAGAAAGAAGCTGTGGCAGCAGCCTTTGGGGTACCAGCAAGCTCAAAAATGGCCTCCAGTGCTGATATGGAGCCAACGCTTGGAGCTTCGAATTTGCCTGTGCAAGAAATGGCAGACATCACCCCTGCATTGGCCTCTGCTGAGGAGACACAGGGGCCAGGCACACCACATTATGGCAACGGAATTCTTGATGTGGAGGGGTCCATCTCTGCTGAGCGAATTGCACATGAAGTTGCAGCTGGTTCTACAGAGATGTTGCAGGACAAGGAAGAACCGGACGGAGGCAATGATGAAACATTGGCGCAAGAGCTCCCCACAACCGTGTCTCAGGCTGTGGCAGCAGCTAACAGCGATCTTCAGAAGCCCCATGGCTCACCTGGGCCTCAAGAGGGCGCCAGCACACCTCAACAGACAATTGGCAGGACTAAGCCAGTGGCAGCAGGGACGAAAAACCGGGTATTATGTGCAGATATGCTGCCACAAGTTGAAAGACCTGCTGTGGACGACCAAGCAGAGGCCAACGTGGTGGTGCAGGAAGGTGCCACAGAGAAGGACCCTGTGGAAGAGCGCGACACGAAGCCCCTAACTGAAACCCATGGGGCCAAGGGACCAGTGATGAAGGCAGCTGCAGAGAAGAAGAATGTAACTAAGACAACAACACTCAAGAAAGTAAGTGCCTCTGACATTCACTTCTGCTCTTGCTGTGTATTCTCAAACAAATCAGTGTAAACGCCAAAAGCAACATCACCAGGCTGCTCTGTTCATGGACACAATGCACAGTCTGTGTGTACGCTGCCTGGGCCAATGTCCAATGTATATCCTTTCACTGGTTGAGCTTTCTTGGCAAAAATAATGTGGTGCGCAAACAACAGAAGAGACAGACGATGAAGACAACTGTGCGTGCTAAGCTGCTGTCCCCAAGGATATTGGAAAGGGGTGCCTACAAATGGGTCGCTTCCTGAATGAGGACGGCCATCTGGGGTGTGTTATTCTCCAGTTCCGTGCGCTGCACACAGCGCAATGCCATGCCTGAGTACAACAACGAAAAGGTAGCAGGCGCGTATGTCTGGCTGCAATGATTGGCTAGAAGAAAAGCTGGTGTGATGCTTGAAGGCGATATGTGTGCTGCTTGTGTGACGGCTTGCAAATGATGTTGTGTTTGTGTGTGCGTAATGGCAGCTGCGAAGTTCTGCATCGTCGGTGTCCAAGTCGCTCGGCTGTGGATGTTTTGGAGGACTGTTAGTGAAGGCCGGAAACTTTACCAGAGCCAGCTGATCCGGGCGATGGTTGCTGATGACGCGTCACCACATCATGAGAAGGCATGCGCAGCGCTGCTGGCTCTACGGGACGAAACTATACATGTTGCGCCTGCATCTGATTGTGGGAGACGTGGATCCACTTTGCTTAGGACAGGAGAACGAGCGATCCAAAAGTTGCTGAAGCACTCTGCCGCCATGTTGCCGGCGGCGACTTCGTTGTCTCTTTGGGAATGTGCGGTAGAACTTGTGGGCTGAAAGTAGCGGTGTTTAGTCAATTGGTGATGTTGGGTGCTCGGGCAGGACTTGTGAGCAAGGCAAGGGGGTAAGTGTTGCATGCTATGGACGGTGTGAGATAGACTAAATCGCTATTAGCACGAATTGGGTTGGCGAATTGGAAATTGCTGACATGTTCTCATCCACACAATATCGCAGGCTTGGGTGCAGGGTTCCGACGAGGTGTTGTGCACGGAACGGAAGAGTTTAGTTGCCACGTTGTGCTTGAAGGAATTGGTGGGTTTGGGCAGTGAATGTGTTCCACCAACTGAACGTCGTTGATCAATAAGGCGGGCCATTTTTTTAGGACTGTGAATGTGTTGGATGGGTTTGGTGCACTGTGCGCTGCTGGGTGTGCTCTGCGGAACGTGGCCCAAGAGGTGTGTAGGTCCCAGGGTACTCCTGAACCCTGATCCACGACTGAAACGAGTTCGGGGCTTGCTAGTAAGAAGTGAATTTCGCAGTGGCCCACTGTGAAACTCTGTAATCGTGCAAGTGGATACGATTCTGTCTTTGTTAGCATGTTTAAGGTGGAACACTTGACTGTCCTAATGCACCCTGCTGGTCCCTTCACACCTCACACCCCCAGCTCCAGTCCCCGTTGTGGTCGAATTGGCACTCTTGCGTGTACGATTTCCATTCGTAGATCTGCGCTCGAATCATTATCGGACTTTGAGAAAGTGAGATGTGCAAAATGGCCCATGGGCATCGCAAGTTGCAGCATTCAAACGGAAAAACCTGCAGGGCAATGAACAATGGGGCGCCCAAATTTGGCATTTAAATAGCTCTGAACTTGTTCCAAATTGTGTGCTGTGTCTTGGCTTCAGGGATTAGTGGCCAGCGCGCTAGCTCGAGTGCATGCCTTGGGTGGGAATTACCAGCTGGCTCGAACGTGCTGGACAGGCAAGGAATCCCGCATGCCAACACACCAGCGGACTTGTCATACTTTAGGGTGCGCACAGCGGGTTTCCACCGCCTGCTGCCAGCATCAAATCGATGGCAGAGTCAACCAATCACGAAATGGAACGCATTAGCGCGCAGTCACCAGATGGCATAGGCGTAGAACCGATACAAGCCCGTGTGTATTTAACTCCGTACCAAACAATATTGAATCTGGTACCAAACTGCCACTGTACCAAATAAAATTGAAACTGGTACCAATGCATATTGAATATGGTACCAAATTCGCGCCGGTATCAAAAATGTTGAACGGTGCAGCAAAAAATGTTGAACCAGTACCAATTAGTCATCGAACGGCAGTCTGCGACCAGCATTGGGCTTTGGCTTGGTTGGGTGGTTTAGGGTTTTGGGTTTAGGCTTTGTGAGCTGGCCGCAGCATTTTGCTGACTAATTGGCACCTGCGCGAATTTGGTAGCAGATTCAATATACGTTGGTACTAGTTTCAATTTTGTTTGATACGTCGGCAGTTTGGTACCAGATTCAGTACCATTGTGTGTTAGCTTCAATTATATTTGGTATGGCGGCAGTTTGGTACCAGGTTCAATATTATTTCGTACGGAGCTAAATGGATTCCGATGTAGCCTCGTTGCTCCCGGGCCTGATTGCACTTTGCGCGAGGCTGGAACATCTTGGCACAGTCATGGAACGGCGACCAAGTTCGGCGACGCTTCTCGGAAGGTGCTGCCAAAAGCTCCAAGCAGTACATTGCCAGAATCCGCGCACCTGTGGAGTCAGCCCAAAGCGGGCGAAAAAGGCGGCTGCTGTTCCGCACTCTCCCCCCCTCCCCCCACTGGAGCCCCCCGCCGACGCCTTGACGGCTTGTGGCGCGTCCACCTTCCCCAAACGCGCCCAGCCGCCTGGTTCGCGCTTTCGGCGGGCGGCGCCCGCCCGGCCACTTCCTCAACGGCGCCCTTCCGTTTCACGAGGCCCCGGCGAGGGCCTCGCCAACGCCGCGCCCCACCGGGGCTTGGCACCCAAAGGTGAGCGAGAACATCGCATCGAGAGGCTGTCCACGTGTCATCAATGGCGCGGGTGACCGGCTGTCCTTCTTGGACGGGTTGCGGTGGTTGTGGCTGGGAAGGGGTCGAATTTGAGCCATGGCCGTGCGCGGGCTGGGAGGCCCCAGATGCAACCTGGGGGGAGTGCGGGAGGCGTGGCGGACGTCGCCTGAACGAAAGGCACATAGACTGCCAGGATTTTGGCGCATTGCTCGGCTTGTTGGTGATGGACTGGAGGTGTTCGGTTGCTTTGGTCTTTGGCTGCGCCGCTCGATTGATGGGCGGTGGTTATAAATGTTGCGTTTCCGAGGTCCCTTGTCTGCACAAGGTCGCCATCAAGCCCGAGCGCGTTTTTGACCTTAATACGAGCATGCTGCGCTGCTGCTTGAGTAATGATGGTTGGTCTTTGCTGTTGGTGCTGTCGCTGCTTCGATCCCCGCTGCCAGCGATTGGATGTTGGGACTTTGCGTTGCGCCCAATGGTGATTGGGCAAGTACTTGTATCCACTGAGGGGACTAGTTTGGTCGTTATGGGGAACTCTTTGGGTGGAACTGACTTCTGAATGACCGCGTCTTGTTCTAAGTCAGCGTTGGGAGTGGAGATTCAAGGGGCCCAGCCGTAGAGTTGATCGAAAGATATCTGCGGTACAGAACCCATGTTGGCCGTGTTGTGCTAGGCTTCTGCGGCAATTTGTGATCATGTAGAATGCAAAGTAAAGTGTGCTTTGCCGATCGCTGACAGCACAGCGATGTGATGTCAATGGCTATCATGCTGAACCTGACGTGAACTCGCCGCCCTGCAGTTCTTGCTCATTTTGAGCACTTAACTCCGGGTGCAACAACGATGGGGCAAGGAGGAGAGTGGGCTGCAATCAGTTTCGGCGAATTGTGGCGGTAATGGCATCACGCTCTGTTATCATCTCTGCTGAAAGGACGATGCTCACCATCTCACAGTCACCCCACCAGGCCATCAACCTGTGCTGCACAGGGTGCCTTTCTCAGCATGGGAAGATCCACAAGGGGAAATGGACCAGCCTTGCCATTCCAAGGTATGGCTGCCTTGCACTGCATACTGTTCAAGCCCATTGATATGTGGCTTTCTTAGCCCTAAAAGCATACCATACCAGCCAATCAACATGTGACCAGCGGTCGACCAGCCTGTGCATCAGGATCTTGTGTCCACAATGCATGAGGATGATTGCAAAGAGTGAGTGGAGCCTAGAACAATAGGAGATCCAAGAATCGAAGTGGGTGTCAGGTTTAGTTGTGTATAGTGCCTGCCCTGCACACCCAACAGCACATTCAGTGGCACATCGCCTTCAAAGTTGCATGTGACCATCTTGAAAGCACAATGGTAGCGATGAACACAAGGTGCAGGCAGTGCATTTGCTTCATCGTCTATTCAACTTGCAGTCCAATATGGCAGTTTAAGGATACCTGTGGAAAGATAAAGAATTCATCAAGTTCATCCACGTAGCACTTGATCCAGCAACCCAGTGTTGAGGCCAAAGCCGCAAAATGCAACATGATGGGAGTAGGGTGCTCTTAGATTCAGTGCCTGTGCTGTGTGTCAACTTGTAAAACTGTAGAATGGCAAGTCGCTCAATACCACAAGAGCAGCACTCTTGCAGCGTGAGCTTGTGTTGGAAGCTGTGGATGCAATTGCTGTTGTTGTCTGCAGCAGCCATCCTAGCCTGCCTGCTGATCTCGCAGGTTTACGCATATGGCTTGCTGGAAGCACAGTTGTGCAACTGACTTGAGATCGACATGCTTTTCACTACCGCATTATGTACAGCATATCTAGCTGTGAAACCAGGTTGAAACCATTCCAGGCAGATACCACTTTGTGCCTGCCATTTCCTGCTGTTGGTTCATAGCCCAGAGTGCCGGGATGAATTAAGCAGGTATTGTGCGAAAGCTGGGTGCTGAACGGAATCCTGCTGTGATTGCATCTTCCTTTGCAGGCAGCAGCAGTTTTGAATGACCTGATTGCACGTGTTGCTCGCCGCCCTCTGGGACTGCTGGCGTCAAGCAGCATGCGTGCAATACGGTAAGTTGGATTATTGAGTCTCACAAGAGTTCCTTACCTATGAGGGGGGCCCCACAGACTGTTCCCTTCCCTCTCCAGCAGGCATTCTGCTGTATGACGTGGAAAGCAGTTTTTGGTACAACATGAAAGTTCTGCTGGCATGCCCCAACAGTGGCCTTGGTTGAGATGAATGGGCAACGTTGCACATCATATGACATGCACAAGCACATCATAACAGATTTCGATCAGTGGAATGTGTCAGTATGAGCAACTCCTGCAAATCTCAATCATCGGCCTGCGGCTGCAGATGCACCATCTTCTCCTGGTTCGCAGTCTGCGATGGACGTTGATATTTACCTGGCATCCATGCATCAGCCCGCCTATGCAAGGCAACCGTTGTGTCTATTGTTGCAAGGGCAAGGAACAAAGGCATCGCATTGATGCCCAAAGCCATGCCTGCTCAGATTGACGATAAACGCCGAATCGCTGCACATTGCCTACCTGCTTAGCCTTCTGGGCTGCCGCCTCTGCGGAATGGACTACCAGGCAGAGGCTGAGACGTTTCACAGGAGGGCCCTGTGCATAGGAGCGAAGCTTCTTGGGGGCGACCATCCATCTCTTGCAGATGCAATGGAGTGGCTATCTTATTCTCTCTACCGGCAGGTACATCTTCTGAAAGCCTGCCAAGAAGCACCTGCAAACAGTGTCCATGTTAATTCTCATTGTCTTTTCGGCAGCGCCAGAATGCAGAAATCGGGCAATATTATTGCACCAGCCGCCTGTGTGTGCCCTGCGTTTGGGGGCCTTTAGTCGCTGAAGGCCACCAGGCGCCCATGTCACTGCCATTAGGCCTTGCCATAGTTGAAGAGTTAGTGTTTCATGGGGTCGGCAGTGCTGAAATAACCTGGACGAACGATCTATGTCTGGTAATTTGAGCTGGATGAGTGGCGCGGATCGTGTCAGCTGTTCGGCCTTGGATGGCCACCAGATCACCACCATTCTGTGCACTCTATCCGATGATGCTCATCTTCAGCTCATTGCGATGTTTCTGAGCTCATAACAGTACTTGCCAGATATGTGAGACATGCATATTCTGGGCCTAACATCGCATAATAGTTGCAAAAGCCCGCGTTTTGCCACATTTCTGGCAAATCTGCGAACGAATCCAGCCTGCTTCTGGGCTGGTCTCCTGGTCGGTACAATTGATCAACAGTGCCCGAGATGTGTTCCAAATTGTCTGGTCACCGTCCAAGGCATCCAAAATGTAGACCGGTGGTGTTTGTAATTCCATTCGCGTTGCTTCACAGTTGACTCACTCACACGCAAGGGCGGCTCGGAACCCATTCCGACGGTCAGTTCCATTCTGACGGTCGAATATAGGATCATGTAGCCATAGTCGCAGCTCGAGCAGCATAAGGCGACTGACGGCCGACACGCCTCTCGAAATAGGACCCCCTTGCGGCGTGGCCCCATGCCCAACCCGCGCCAATGGATGCCTGTTCCGTGTTCTTCTGACCGCCACCAAACCCCCCTCCCCCGCTGACAGCCGCGCCCGCCCGCAGGGAAACTTCAAGGAGGCTGTGCTGCTGTGCGCCAGCGCCACGGTCCTCATTCAGGGGGCGTTTGGGCCCTGCCACCCCTTCCTCGCCAACTGCTACTGGAACCTCGCCACCGTCGTCGAGGCCATGGGCCTAAAGCCTCACGGGGGCGACCTGAGGGCCAGGGCGAGTTCCATAGTCAGCCGATCGCTGGACCCGTGGCTGCTGCTTCGGTGGACCGGCGAGCGGCCGCCGGTCGCCGAGGACGTGGCGAAGCCGCCTTTGTTGCAAGGGGCTGGGGGGACTGGAACTCAGGCACGTGGTGGTGCGGAGGGAAAAGGAGGAAGTGGGTCGTCAGCGCCTGGGGATGTGGGCAAGGAAGGGCCTGGCAGAGAGCCCCAGTCTCACGGAACCGAGGAAATGCGCTCTGCGCCATGCAGCGCGTGGGACTCGGCGTCTCTTGAGGCCGAGGACGTCTCCAACGGTGCCGAGGACGGCGCTGGCATCGAAGGGATGCGCGATGCGCCGAATGCTGTCGAGGGCCGGCGCAAGGGCGGAGCGTTTCTGGAATTGTTGGCACTCAGGGCCGAGTGCGAGGGGGGCGAAGACGGGGCTGCGGCGATCGTCGGCGTGGCACTGAAATGAACCAACGAACTTGAAATTTCCGCGGCGGATACCGCTGGCCAGGGATTCTTACGTCGGCTATCTGGCGATTTCATTTGCGCACGCAAGCGCCCAGGTGCCGTGGCATTGGGTGGCGATTAGGTATTTGTTAGGCCTCTTTTCCGTACCAAAGAATGCGAGCATTTTGATCGCGCGCCTGCTCGCCGGTGCGCATTTCATTTTGCGAAATGCGCGTTGCGTGTCTTCGCCCGTGCGGCGAGTGCGCACGTGCGATCCGCTATTAAACGCAGTGTGAATTCGGAGGTCCACGGGTGGATAGACCATGAGTGAGAACAAAATTTGTATCTCGGTGTGTGTACGAATGTAATTTGTAAATTACTCGATGGCCGCACTATCCTCAGAGTTCAGATTTCCGCTGTCTCGTTCCAACCAGCTGCAACTGACCAGGCTTGTTGTTTACGTTTACGGCACCATTTTAACGTTTGTGCTTTCAAGCATAAGAACGCGCAGGTAGAAATGGCCAGTTTTGCGGCCATTTTTACACATTTTTCCGGCTCGCCGGCACGTTCAGGCAGCTTGATTGTGTCCCAAACAATGATCAATCCTCCAGCCTCCGAGCACCCGCAGCACAGCGTCCACCTCGCCTTCGGGAAGGTTGACGACGTCATCGAACAAAAGGTCGTTTTCTGCCCACTCTGGCACGTCGGGAAACCACTTCCTAGACACACTGAGTCTGTAAGCACTGTCTCTGTGTACAAAGGGCCCATTTTTACGCATTTGCCGCACAAATATTGTCATAATTATGCAGGAAAATGTCAAAACCATTTTGAAGTGTAAATAGCCGTGAACACAAAAGTGTCTACGGCACAAGTACACAAGCCTGGCGCTGACAATGATGCCACATTCTGGGACGTCGCTCCATGTCGCTTCACCTAATGGGTTCAAGACCGGTACCTCGCCACTGAGTGACGAATGTAGTTGAGTGTCGCATGGTATTTTGCTCTGATACCTGGTCCAGACCTTGCACATCACTCCTTTCGATCACGGCCTGCCGCTGCACGAGGCGTGCAGCAGAGATACAGGCGGAAGAGGTTTGCTATCAATGGTCTTCATCTGCTCTTGGAAGGAATGTCCAGCTGTTTCAACGCACATGCCCTGGAACAGAAAACATTTGCCCTCTCCCTCTGCAGAATGTTAATGTTCATTTTGACGTCCTACCACTACCATATTTGAAAAGGTGAGGGCATAGATCTATGCAGGTCTCGGCTCTGGGGCCGACTGACATTGTTGCAAGAATTTTGGCTTTGAGCTTGCTGGGTTGTCACAGTGCGCCACGCCCGGCGTACTCAACTCGAAAGGCTGCCCTGGGACACAATATTCGTTTTGGCGGCTCCAACTGGTCTCCCTGCCCATCCAATGCGGCAAGGTTCCCTGCCCCTGTTGCGATTGATTGACCATGCCCACCCGTGCACCAGGCTTGGTCGTTACGCCGTAAAACTGATCGTATTTACGTTTTTACGCGTGAAAATGCGTAAAAATACGTAAATACAACGTAAAAACTGCCGGTGTACATAAGGACAGTACATACAGACTTGCGGACTCCGAAGAGCGGCAGCCAGACGCCCTGGAAGGGGCGGAAAACGAGTTTTTGTTTCACGCCATTATCGACCTTGCCAACGGCGAGGTGGACATTGTGTCGCGGGTGCTGGAGATGGCGCAGGACTGATCATTGCACGCAACTTTAATCGTGTAACCTGGGTGTCCCAGGGAGCCCAAAAAACTTAAAAATAGCCGTAAAACACAGAGTCTTTTGCAAATTTACGTTTTTGCGCGTAAAACCGTAAAAGTAAAAAAGTAAACGTAAATGTAAACCAAGCCTGTCGTGCACGGCAATTGCCTACCAAACTCGGATGGGGAAAGGATCGTCGCTCACTGCCGATGCGAACTGCGAATGACCGCAAATGCTTCACCACACGCAGGCTTGGTTCTTATGTTTAGATTTTGTTATGTTTGCGTTTGCACGCGCAAAAAAGTAAACGCAGAGAAGAAGCTATTTTACGGCTGTCTGTTCGTATTTTTACGGCTCGTTGGGACACCGGGTTACATGGGGAAGTCGTGTACAATATCAGTCCTCCGTCTCCTCGCGCACCCGCAATACAGCGGGTGCCACCTCGCCCTCGGCCAAGGCAACGACGTCGTCTAGAAAAAGCTTGTTTCTGTCCATTTCAATGCGTCTAGCTACCGTTCCCTTGACCCTAAGTCTTTGTGTACTGTCTCTATGTACGTATTTATTTACTGTCCTTATTTGTGTCTCTATGTCTTTATGTGGTTTACATTCGTATTTACGCATTTTTATGCCTTGTTGCGCATTGAAATGTAAAAACTATTTTTCGCGTATTAAAGTAAAGACGATCAGTGTTGCGGCATAAATTTCAAACCTAGTTACACGCACGAGCTTCCCACAACAGTCCATGTCAGCTCGTGTCAAACACAGGGAGGGATTTCCCTCTCACCCGCCGTGTCCCCATAATGCACTCTCCACGTCGATCCATCTGCCAAAGCCAGTCCATGCCTTAATGGGCCGGCAATTGCAAGCCAGCGATCACCAAAGACCTCCCCGTGGTGACGAGACAGTGCTCACATTTAGCATCAAATCCAAATTTGCTGTTGGTGACCGTCGCTAACACAGGCACTTGGAACTTCTGAATTGGAATATTCCAATGGCCAGGCTTGTTGTTTATGCAGCGGACACTCATTGTATTTGCGTTTTTGTATGTAACATAGTTTTTACGTTGTACGCATAAAAACGCGTACAAATAAGTAAATACAACGTAAATACAGCTCCGTGTACATAACGACAGTACATACAGATTTAGGAAGTCCCGGTAGTGACAGTCAGGCGCGCTGGAATGGGCGTAATATGAAGTTCTGTTCCACATCGTCGTTGCCCTTGCCGATGGCGAGGTGGGCGCTGTGGTGTGGGTGCTCGAGGGCGCAGAGGATTAACCACTTAACCAGTAGAAAAGATTCTGTTTGCGATGCCAACTGCAATGCAATTCGACAGAAATTGATGCTACCGCATCCCCTTTTATACCATCACAATCGCTGTGACGGCACCACTTTGTATCAAAATGGCATCACAATTGGCATCACAAACATGACGTTCTCTATAGTGTTGTACGCGACATTTGCATGCATGATGTGATCGTATTGCATCAGGACGTGGTTTAGTGCGTGTCAATAACGGCGACTTAATCCTGCACGGCGAGGCGTGCCACACACCCGGTACGGAAACGCGATCACGACACGGCAAACCCAGGTCTGTCATGACAGCCCATATTCCCAGCCTGGCATCCATGCACTTGCCCAATCGACGCTTCTAACAAGTTGCAGGCATCGGTGGCATTGATCAATGCCACCGATGCTGGCAGGGTCCCCTTTTGAGTATGTTGCTGCTTGCGAGCGAGCCTATGTGCACTATGTTTCTTGATGCTGTGGGCAACCATTGCGAGGTCGGTGTAGATCGCTACCAAGGGGACGCTATTTGACTCCTTGAGTTCTGCAGAGACACGCGACGTGACCAATGTGTAGAAGTTTTCAAGTTCCTGTGAGGATGTTTAATCACTCATTCATCGATGCCTCCAAATGCATAAATGCAACAAACCATCATTATCAAATGGGTTACGTAGCTCTATTGGTGATATAGTTTTATTATTAATGGCAGTGTCATGTTTCCCAAGCCCTGGAAAAAGCACCTGATATCTTTCAAGCAGGCACTTGGCACCTGCAAGCAGGCCTGTCATTTCTTCAACATTTTGAGCAAAAACACTGCCCAAATAATTTCCAATTCAAATAAAAACAAGCTGAATCCGAAGTATCGATACATTGATCAGATCTCAGCGGGTGAGATGGAATATTAGAGGTAGCTAATACGATGTAAAAATATCCTAATATTGTAAAGCCATATTACAATAAATGTTTCAATATCAGTTTATTTGAAACCAACACGCAATTGGCCTAGTTGTCCTTTGATATATTCGCAGCTTTTAAGGTCAATTTCATTCAATGTGCGCATAATAGCCATGCAGCATCATCTATCGGCGTCACAGACTCTGAATTTACTTCATTGAAACGTTCATACCTCAAACACATGTATTACTGCATCGGAACTTTAAATTCCTGTGCAGTGGCACCGCATTTGGTGAGTGAGAAAATTCTGAATCAAGGATTGTGACGTTTCGATACTTATGAGTTCCGTCCACGCTGGTCATGAAGCGTGTATGGACGCAACGAAGTGTATTACGGACCCCCAACACACCCTAAACCCGGAATGAGATCATGACCATCATGAATTCATTATATTTGTGTCCTAGAATGAAACAGATCGTATGTTTGTGTACGAATATTCTGGTTTTGGGCGCAGGTATTCAGACAAGCCGAAATTTCACAGGCGCAAAATGAAATGTGCATTCATTTCCGCTAGGCCAGCGACAGCTGCAGAGACGCCACCTGCAATCGGCACCATGAGCGAAGGCATACATGATGCAGCGGGAACCGTTTCTTGAAGATTTTTCATGTCATTTGCCGTTGCAACGAAATTCAGACTCCACTAAAAGCATCCGCGGTCAGCAGCTGCTGACCTGCAGGCGAACATGGCATGACGTTGCTGCTGCATCCCTGTACCACCACTGATTGTTCTCAGCTCCAACAAATGCAATAAAAGCTGCCATGAAGCTGCAGGAGATAAATTTGTCTCCAAAAGATTCACTAGAGAAGCCTCCAACATCAGTCTTGGAGTTTGTCGGAGTTTCACTGACATGCTGGCCGTGGCGGAACCGAGCGTCCAACCGCATGAATCACAATTGCCGATAATGCCGTGCCGCTATTTCTGTGACACTGAACCGTCGCCCTCGGAACATCGATGCGACTCTTCCATTCAGCCTTGTATTGTACATCATCATTCTTGACCCAATGAGCCGTCCAATTGTCCAGGTTCTGGCCTTTTATTGTTCGCGTCGCAA